TTGACTCTTGACTGTGATGTTTATCCTACTCTTATCAAGGAATTTTTTACTAATCTTTCTTACAATGAAGAATCTGCCCCTAGTACTTTAGATTGTTTTTGTACGGGGTGTATCCTTTACTTTGAAACCCTCTGTTATAAATTTCATTTTGAAAAATTCCAATAATGGACAGAAAGTCTCTCTTTCTGTTAGCATAAATCCACCAAACTATACTCATCTCATTGGTCTAAAATTTCTCATAAACAATCCTGACCTAGATCATCACATCACTATTTCTGGTAAGGATCTCTCTCTTGATATAAGACTTTTGCATCATCTCATCACACATAATCTCATTTCCCGTTCTGGTCATTTTGATGCTGTTACATTTGGTCATACATTTCTTATTAGGGCTCTTTTCACTGGCTACCTCACTAATTTTGGTTATTTTGGTGTGCCATGTCATTATGAATGCACATAAACAAAGCAACTAAACTGCTCTTCCCTACGAGATGATTTTCACCAAAATTTTCAAACACTTTAAAATCAATCTCAAAGGTGAAGAAAAAATCCCTCAAGATCTAGCCTGTTATGGTTCTGAAACATTGAGCCACATGGGTTATTCTTTGATTGGCAATGTGTGGACCAAGGCTAAGAAGCCTACCTCCTCCCTTTCTTCTTCTACTCCTGCCTCATCTCTCTCTACTCTATCTAGCCCTTCATCCCTTCAATTCTCCACTCCTAGTCCTTCCTCTTCTACTCCACCACCACCATTTGACCTCTCATCTCTCTCTTTCTCTCTTTCTCTCTCCCTTTCTCTCTCAAAATTGATCACCTTGATTCTTTTGTTTAAGGTCCTTTATTGGTTGGGATTGTTGAACTTAATTCGTGGCTTAACAACCTCAACCTGAATCCCCAATCCACTTCTACTTCTGATCTTCCATCCCCCTTTCATTTTGCCTCTGCTTCATCCTCTTCTGCTCTGGAACAAAAAGTGGATCAGTTGCCCTCTTTACTTTGACAACTTCTTTCTCAACAAATGGACATGCAGCATGATATCAACAGGATGAAGATTCAGTAAGCTTAAGCCATTGAAGCTGCAAAGACCAATGTTGAAAGCATGGTCATTGCTGTCTATGGGCTCAAGCACTCCAATGAAGAATTCAGACAGATTTTCCAGTAGCGATAGAACGACGACCTTGGTGAACAAATTCACAATTTATGCTTTGGTTCGCACAAGGGTGGCGTGAAGCAACACCTCATTGACCTTGCACTCCTCTACCATTTTGCTAGCCTCTGCTCTCTTTTTTTTTTTTGATGATGCCAAAGGGAGAGAAGTTTTGAGATGTTTTTTAGATGTTATTTCTGCTATAATTAAACTGATTTGCTTTATTACTTTTGAACATGGTGATAATTGTTTTATTGATGTTCCAAACTGTTAGTTTTTGTTGACAAAAGGGAAACATATTTAGTTGTTTGATGTATATGGGTAATTAGTTATGGTTAATTATCTTATGCACAGTCTGTTATTTTTGCTTGAATGAATGATAACCATATGTGAATGGTTTTTGATGTGAATGAATTTGTAGTATAGTTGTTTTGAAAGGTTAGTTGTTATGCTCTTCAAGATTTATCTTGCTGAACAACTTCTATGAATATAAACTTAGATGATTACATTATTGAACTTATATATTTCTGCCCATATGACTTGTTATTGAAAACTGTTTATGATTGAAAAGGGGAGCAAGACCTACTCTGGTGGTACAAGAGCCTGTGATTTCATTCAATGAAATTAAAGCGATAACAGTTCATATATAATGATCCAATGCACATTAACAGGGAGAGTATTTCTATACTTAAGTTTGTTCTATTTATGCAACATTCATATGCATTTATATTGCGTTTGACTTGGAAATGATTTTGGCCATGAAGCCCCATTTATAGAGGGAGTTTTCGATCTCGATCTCTAAATCTTTTATTTCACAAAACTCTTTGAAAAACACTTCTTAATGCATTTGTTTTGAAACTCATATTTTGAAAACTTTTCATATATTTGTCATCATAAAAAATGGGGAGATTGTTAGCCCCACAATTATTTGAATTTAAATTCTGATTGATTTTGATTATCGACAAATATTTTGAACTCATTTTTTTATACATAGTTTTCAAAATAATATTTTATTTTTGCTCTTCAATGTTTCTAATAGATATATGCTTCTAATGTGTTATTTTCTCATGAATTTTAAAACCCTCAATACATAGATTTAGTACAAGTGTGCAACAGGGCATTCTTGTTTAAAACAGGTCCATGAGGCGACACCAAGAATGACAAGGGTCGACACTAAATTTCAGTATACAAGGCTCAAACAATGCAGCAGCAATGGTCGATACCAAGAATGACAAGGGTTGATACTAAATTTCAATGAGCTGAGGGTCGACACCAGCACATGACAAGGGTTGACACCAAAATACAAAAAAAAGTGTTCCAACAAACAAAGGGTCGACACCCAATTTCGGAAGGGTCGACACTAGGAACACTTGGTAGTCAAAGTAGAGAAGAAAAAAAGAACAAAGGGTCGACACCTAATCTGCAGGGGTCGACACCTTAAGTCTAGGTTTCAAAACCTAGCCGCCATTTTCTTATCTATAAGCAACCTTTGCAGTCATTATTATGAGTAGACCTTGAGCTGACTTTGCAATAGGCTTTGAGCAGACTTTTTGATATCATCATCATGAAAATATATCTTATCTCCACCTACCAAGATCTGCATTAATGGACATTACATCTTTTGAGGACTCACCCATGCTCTACTCTGACAGCTTGAAGACTCATCTATGCTCTGCTCCAAACGGCTAGAAGGTATACCTAGCTTCACTCTAATGGCTAGAAGACATTGAAGTCTATAAAAGCAGCCCTTCTTCAGATCAGAAACAGTGAACAACTCTGAGCATTCAAGAACAATTCCTAATCAATCTCTGCTGCACATTACTCTTGTACTTCTACTTTCATATCTGAGTGTATTCCAAAATTTCTCTGCTCTTACACTTTCATATACATCTTTTGAGAGAGAAATATTGTAAAAGAGGATATTTGTATTTCTAGCTCTTATCCATTGTATTCTAAGTGAAACACTTATAAGATGAGGCATTTAGTTGAGAGGTCCTCAACGGGTAAAGTAAATCATGTGTAAAATACACAAGTTAGGTGAAGCTTTGGTGGTGTTTCGATTTAATTCATAGAGAAGGAATTCTCAAGGAAGAACCTTGAGGAGTAGACGTAGGCCAGTGAGCTGAACCACAATAAATCTTTGTATTTGAACTCTTCTTCCCTTCTTCATTATTTAGGTATTATTGATTGCTTGCTGAATTTATTTACTTGATTTATTACAATCCATTTTTTGTGCATAATTTTTATTTACCCAATTCACCCCCCTCTTGGGTTGCCCACCTGGGCAATAGAAGTATTGTTGGTGCCCTTCAATATTTGATCATTACCAAGCCAGAACTGTCATTTATTGTCAATTAAGCATGTCAACACATGCATTCACCGACTGCTGGGGATTTCATGGTTGTTATGCGCACACTCAAATATATCAAGGGGTCTTTATCTCATGGCTTAACTTTTTCTTCCAACTCTTTTCACTTATAAGGGTTCCCTGGAGCATTTCAGTGGGTTATTTGCTTTTGTTAAAATAGTCTTTGGGTGGTGGCAACAAGTTGTTTAGCTAGTTTTTGGGTGGTGGCAACAAGTGTTTATGGCCTTGTGCGCTAGTGTTGGTTTCTCACCAATAATATTCTTGGTTTTCCTTGTCCTCTTTTTTTTCTTTCTCATCCTTATTGATGTATTCCCATATGTAATGTATGGTTCGTCATCAATAAAGATTTTCTTTGCTGATAAAAAAAAAAGGGCAAATTACAAACACCCCTCTCGAGATTTGGTAAAAATACAGGTTCCTCCATGAAGTTTGAGAAATTTCAAATTGCCCCCTGATGGTCAAATTTTCATAACAAATTAGGAAAAATTAGAAGGGAATTTGTATGAAAATAAAAACCTCAGGGGACAATTTGTTATGAAAATATAAACCTCAGAGGGCGGGATGTAATTTCTCAAAGTTCAGGGAGAAATCTGTATTTTCACCAAACCTCGAGGGGGTGTTTGTAATTTGCCCAAAAAAAAAAAAAATAAATAAAAGGGTTCACTGATTCCAATTGGATTGTGGATCCTTCTGATCACAGGTCCACATCCGAGTATTGTATTTTCTTAGGCTCTAACCTCATCTCTTAATCCTCCAAGAAACAACCAATTGTTTATAGGTCTTCAACTGAGGTTGCATATAGGTCCTTAGCTCACACAGCTACTGAATTGACTTGGCTTCAGATGTTGCTTTCATATTTTTCAATCACTTTACCTTCTTCTCCAGTTCTATGGTGTGACAACCTTTCAGCCCTTTCTTTCGTTGCTAAGCCTATTTTCCACAGTCAATCTAAGCATATAGAGGCTGATTGCCATTTTGTTTGAGAAAAAGTTGCTGCTAAGAAGCTCCCCCTCAAGTACATTCCCACCGATCATCAAATTGCTGATGTGTTTACTTAAACCTTTGTCTACTTTCAAATTTCATCTTCTTAAAAACAAGCTTATGGATCACTCCTCTCTCATTTTCTTGAGGGGGGATGATAACAATATTACACCATCAGCAGGTTAGACTCATCTTAGTATTGTGAGCCCTCAACCACAGCAAAGTATCTGTCTATGATACACAATAGAATTCAGCTAGAGTTAGTAAGATTGTAGTTAGTTAGAGCTCGTGTATGAGCTATATATACAACACTGATGTAAAGATACAATTCATTGAATCAAATAGATTGCTTTTACATTCTCTTCAGTATCCACATGGTCAATTAGCAACTTTTTTTTCTTTTTTTCTTTTCATTCCTTCATCCACTAGTGCGCCATTCAATATATTATTTTAACAAACAAATACAAGGTTATATATATATATATAAGAAATGGAAGAACTAACCTGCATTGGATGATGTCTGTGTTCATCTATTGCCAAAGCTGTTGAATTTCCGAAATACTAAAAAACAACATAGAACAATAGAAAAATATTAAGAGAAGCAAGATCGGGGGGCTGCACTTTTGGGGGGAAATTTGAAATCCATTTCCCCCCCTTTTTTCCCACACTCTTGCCTATATATCCAGGCCCTCCAGCTCCCTTTTGAGGGGTTAGAAAGTTTGGTTTAAGCCTCCTACATTGTATCTCTTTCTCTCTACACTCCAACTCTCAAAACCTCTCAAATCCTACATCCATTCTACTCCATCTCCAAGCCAATCAATCCACACTTCATTCCAGCAGCTTCAAGGCCATTTCCAGAGGTTGAGGGCTCCCAAACTTGGTCCAGGAGTTATTAAAGCATTGGTCTTCAAGGGTAAGTCTTCTATCCCTCTCTTTGGCCCTATTTTTGCTCAATATATTAGCTCATCTTGCTTGCATATTTGGGCTCCAACCCTAACTGAAAATAGCATTATTTTGAGCTCCTTTTCATGTTTGTTTAAGGGCCTCTCCCTGTTTGAGGCTTCCTTTTTACACTTGCTTCTTTACCTCTCTTGTATGCCTCTTTCTTGCATAGTATTTTAGGCCTATTTTTAAACTGTTTTGAGCTTGGTTATAAACTATAAAGTGGATTATTTTGAGCCCTTATTCAACATTATTGAAGGGATCTTTACTGTTTGAGGCTTCCTTTTGTCACTTGCCTCTTTATCCCTCTTTTGGCCTTATTTTTGCATGTTTTGTTAGCCCCTTGTGCTTGTATTTTTGGGATCTGGTACGAACTGTAAATAGCTTTATTTTGACCCCCTCTTCAAGTTTTATCAAGGGACTTTTTCTTTTTGAAGCTCCCTTTTTGCTCTTTGTGTTTAAACCTCTTTTTAGGCCTTATTTTGCATAGTATTTTAAGCTTGCATGTGCACTGTTTTGGGTTTGGTCACTAACTGTAAAATATCATGTTTTGGGCCCCTCTTCAACTTTGTTGAAGGGCCCTCCTCTGTTTGAGGCCAGAAACCATCACTTGCTTCTTTGTCTCCCTTTTGGCCCATTTCTTGCACATTAGTTTAGCCATACTTGTGTTTGTTTTCGTAGCTTATTGTAAACTGTAAAGTACCATGTTTTGAGCCCCTCTTCAACTCTATTGAAGGGCTCTTGGCCATTTAGGGCCAGCAGCTGCTACTTGCTTCATTATCTCTCTTTTGGGGCCATTTTTGCATGTTAACTTAGCCCTATTTGTGTTCACTTTTTGGCCTTGCTTAAAACTGTAAATATGTTTTTTTTGGGACTGTCTTGATTCTGTCTTCACACTTTGTGTTCAAATAATGCATGCTTTGCATAGCCATAGGTCATTCCATGTACCTAATTTCATGTTTCGGGTCTCATTCCATGTATCGGGTACCATGTTTCCATGTTCTGGGGCTGTTTTGCATCATATTTTACTACTGAAATTTGCATGTTTGCATACCATGTTCCATGCCTTGCCATGCCTTGTTAGTGTTGCATGTTATGCCTTGGATTCGGTCCTCAGTTTGCGTACATGTGTGCACGCATTTCGAGTGTCTCATTTTTCATCTCATGGCTACTAATGTGAGTGTGGCTGAGGTCCACTCATGTTGGTGTAAGTCCATTGTGCATTGAGTATGCCATTTCATTTTATAGCATTGCGTATGTTAGGCTGTATGTTAGAGCATTGCGTATGCCTTGTTACATCGTGCATTGTGTATGCCATCTCATAGCATTGTGCATGCTAGGTTGTATATTAGTTGCATTCATGCATGTCATGCATATTGCATTGTGCTTGGGATAGGAGTTAGCCCGAGCACGGGAAACGAGGGACGTTTCGTACTTCGAGTGACGGAACGTGTCTCAATTCCCAGTCACCGACACTCCGGATTATCCATGATGGAGTTTAGGTTTTGTTGTGTTTATATGTGCATTCATTTCATATTGAGTCGTGCAATTCAACTCCTCGGCCATCATGCATCGATATGCGTGATTGGTGGCATGAGGACCGAGGACTACACTCCCTGAAGAGTAGTCATGCATACATATGTGAAAATACTTTGCCATGCCCCTTTGTTGTTCTCTGTTGCAGCAAATCAAAAATCGACAGCCTTCTAGAGCTTGGCATGCATTCCGAGAACAATTGCAAACAGAGGCAAACCGGGGCATCGCGAGGGATTCTCCGCACAAGGCAACTCGAGCATGCATCATTCATCATTCGGAGCAGATTTGAGGCAGTCCCTGGCTTGCATGCTAATTTATTGCTTTCCTAATTTAATTTTTTAATTAATTAGGGTTTTGTACATATTTGGACTGTAATTATTCATTTGGGACTGTATATTATTAAATTTAGTTGCCAAAGGTATATAAAATTTTAGTAGGAAACAAATTGAGATTGTCGCCCACATTTTTGAAATACAAATAGGGGTTCTTCTCTCTCTCTCTCTCTCTCACACACACACACACACACACACACACAGAATCAGTCACCACTAAACCGAACCTTACCAACGTTGCTTACTACCGTTGCTTACCATACGTCGCACATCGTGACCGCCATAGCTGCAAATCACCACCACCATCGCCACCGCTACAAAACAAACAGGTTCTCTCTCTGTGATATGTATGTTTATATGTGTGTTAATTATGTGCCATGTGCTATTTGAATTATGTTTTGAGTGACAGATAGGTGAGTATGTGAAATAGACCTGTCTGAATCCTAAAACTATAGAAACTGGTATGCCATGAAGTCGCACCACCTCCTGAATGTATAGCCTAGCTAGTTTATGTGCAGTTCGGTGAACACTGATAGAAATAAAATGAGCATACTTGGTGAGTCGATCCACTATCACCCAAGTATATTCATTGCCTCGCTTAGATCGTGGTAATCCATCCACGAAGTCTATAGTGATGTACTCCCATTTCCAAGTAGGGATCTTGAGATGCTGCAAAAGTCCAAACGGTCATTGCTGTTCCGCCTTAACTCGTTGACACACATAACATCAAAAAATATACTCTCCTAGGTCATTCTTCATAATTTTCCACCAAAACGTCCTCTTAAGGTCATGATACATCTTAGTCCCATTAGGGTGAATAGTATATCGGCGGGGGTGCTCACAAAGTGACCTTCCCCAATCGTACCCAAGTTCCCGAGCCGAGGCAACTTTGGTGATGACGGACACGTGGCCTTAGGTAATGAGTCAGGGTTTCTTAAATTTCCCCAAAATAAAATATTTAGGTGGCAACTCTATACCTGGCAAAGCAGTCCATATTTGGCACTTCTTTTCTAAAAATCTGTTTTCTCAAAACGATTTGCCGGATTTGGACTCTTTGGTTCAGATTAAGAACCGTGACAATTTGAGAGTCCTGAGCTGTAGTGAACCCCAAATGAACAGAACGGGGGACCTCGTCCTTCCGGGGCGTTCGGGGACGTCTACAGTCCACATCCGAGTATTGCATTTTCTTAGGCTCTAACCTCATCTCTTAATCCTCCAAGAAACAACCAATTGTTTATAGGTCTTCAACTGAGGTTACGTATAGGTCCTTAGCTCACACAGCTACTGAATTGACTTGGCTTCAGATGTTGCTTTCATATTTTTCAATCACTTTACCTTCTTCTCCAGTTCTATGGTGTGACAACCTTTCAAACCTTTCTTTCGTTGCTAAGCCTATTTTCCACAGTCAATCTAAGCATATAGAGGCTGATTGCCATTTTGTTTGAGAAAAAGTTGCTGCTAAGAAGCTCCCCCTCAAGTACATTCCCACCGATCATCAAATTGCTGATGTGTTTACTAAACCTTTGTCTACTTTCAAATTTCATCTTCTTAAAAACATGCTTATGGATCACTCCTCTCTCATTTTCTTGAGGGGGGATGATAACAATATTACACCATCAGCAGGTTAGACTCATCTTACTATTGTGAGCCCTCAACCACAGCAAAGTATCTGTCTATGATACACAATAGAATTCAGCTAGAGTTAGTAAGATTGTAGTTAGTTAGAGCTCGTGTATGAGCTATATATATACAACACTGATGTAAAGATACAATTCATTGAATCAAATAGATTGCTTTTACATTCTCTTCAGTATCCACATGGTCAATTAGCAACTTTTTTTCTTTTTCTTTTCATTCCTTCATCCACTAGTGCGCCATTCAATATATTATTTTAACAAACAAATACAAGGTTATATATATATATATAAGAAATGGAAGAACTAACCTGCATTGGATGATGTCTGTGTTCATCTATTGCCAAAGCTGTTGAATTTCCGAAATACTAAAAAACAACATAGAACAATAGAAAAATATTAAGAGAAGCAAGATTGGCCTGTGAAAAAAATGAAGGTGTATCAGAGAGGGTGACTAAAAGTGTCATACATACTTATATGCAAATAGTTCATTGTTTGTGGGTGGATGTTAACAGAGTGGTTGAGAACAATGTTGTGTTTGGATCACGAATTTGGATAGCTATTTGAAAAGAAAAATTATAAAGTCCAAAGAAATAGAGAAAAAAATTAACTTGTATTTATTTACACTTCACTAACCATTTCTTTTTCCAATACCAAGCACAGAAAAAATAAATAAATTAAAAATTCAAAGAAAAACTATAGTGCACTATTGCCAATTGAAGAACAAAAAAGGAAATAGGTGTCCTGTGGGCGGCACAAGGAATGAAATTTAATAACAAAATTCATAATAGCTGGTACAGTACAGGTTTTGTAGATTACGAATAGTCACAGTAAGAGGACCATGGTGTTGGAACATTTGAAGGTCTTCATTCTTTGGAAGCAGTAGTAGACAATAGATATTTTGATTAGCCCTCATTTTGCATTCCTTTTAGAAGCATGTGGCTAAAATACCAAGGCCACACCAAAAATCCATAGAAAAGAAATGCCTGGGGGCTTTTAAAAGCATAACACTTGGGTTATCTTTCCTTGTGAGTTCGATGTAGGACAAAAATGGAAAGGAACAAAAAAGCAAATGGAAAGCTGTCTATATATATGCTCAAATGTGCATAATTCGTTG